GGACCATATATTAGGAGGACATCGAGTGGACCAGGAGAGTAGAAATCTGAGGTGGGTAGCATTATAATAGGTCACAATATCCAGAGCACCTAGGCCTCCCCTGGAACGCAAGGTGAGTAGTACAGTGCGTGTGTTTCTATGCTGTTTATCATGCCATATGAAATGTAAAAAGGGATTTCTGAATGGAGTGTAGCTTAGACATAGGGATAGGAACGGGAAGAGTGGCGAATAGATATAAGGGTTTGGGCAGTATGTTATGTTCATTTTTTATCACATTGATACGGCCAAGGAAGGAGATGGGTAGGGTGTCCCAAAATTTTAGAGATCGGGAAATGGCAATGAATAAGGAAGGGAAGTTAGCCTTGTATATGGAGTGGTATGAATAAGTGAGGTTGGTACTCAAATACTTTAAAGAGTGAGTACACCAACGATATGGGTAAAATGATTGGAGAAAGGACAGTGCACCAGGTGGGAAGTGTAAAGGGAGTGCTTCAGTTTTGGATGCATTGACTTTATATCCCGACAAAGCCCAAATAATTGTAAAGTTTTATGGAGAACAGGTATGGAGGTAAGAGGGTTTGATAACGTAAGGAGGATATCATCTGCAAATAGGGACAATTTGTATTCATGCTCATGAGAATGTATCCCACATATATCAGGATTGGACCAAATCGCAATAACCAGCAGTTCCAGACAGAGGATAAACAGTAGGGGGAAAGCAGGCATCCCTGCCGTGTACCGTTTGACATTTGAAAGGAGGGTGAGAGGAACGAGGCTAATCTGACCTGTGAAGAAGGTAAAGAATAAAGAACCTTCAAGGCAGCCACAAATGGACCCCGGAAGCGAAACTTCTCCAAGACCATAAACATGTAGGGCCAGCTAAGGCTATCAAAAGATTTCTGAGCATCCAAGCTCAGTAATATAGCAGGAGTCGAGGATCAGTTAACCAAATCAATCAAGTCAACGGACCTCCTGGTGTTGTCCGCGGCATGTCTAGCTGGCACAAAGCCCACCTGATCCCTATGTATGAGCTTGGAGATGAATCCGGACAACCTGTTGGCCAAAATCTTAGTAAATATTTTATAGTCGGAATTTAATAGAGCAATGGGACGATAGTTAGCCCGAGTAGAATGGTCTTTATCAGGCTTGGGAATTAAAGAAATATATGCACGTGAAAATTCTGCCTGAGGGGTGACACCCTTTAAGAGATCCTGGAATATAGGGAGAAAAGGTGAGGAGTCAAAGTGCCTATAAAGGTTTTTATAGCAGGAATAGGGTAGTCCATCAGGTCCCAGAGATTTGTGGGACGGGAGTTGTTTGATTGTCTCGAATAGTTCCTTAGATGAAATGTCCGCATTAAGGGCCGAGAGGTCAGGGGGTGATAACGTCGGGAGGGATAGGGAGTCAAAAAAGGCGTCAAAAGACGTCTTTTGCAGGGGGGGGGGGGGGTTGAAGATCTGTGGTCAAGCAGTTGTAAAGGTTCATATAGTATGTTCCAAAGATTGAGGCCATTATGTGGGGGTCGTAGGTAGGGTCACCATCCGGTTGGATAGGTGATCTGGTATCGTTGAGGGAGATTGAGCTTTGAGTCGATTTACGAGCATGCGGTGTGGTTTATTAGAGAATTTGTAAAATTTCTCTCTGACCCAAAGAAGGGACTGTGAAGATCTATGCAAATCAAGGACTTTGACCTGGTCATGGAGAGAAATTACCCTACGAAGCCCAGTAATAGACGGCTTTGCAAGTATACAACGTTCAGCCAAAGATAGTTGGCGAATAAGGGAAGCCCTGGCGTCAGTCGAGGACATTTTCAAGCGGGAGCCCATAGAGATACAGAGTCCCTGAAAAACAGCCTTATGAGCCTCCGATAGGGTCGAGGAAGAAACCACTGAGCCAACATTATGATGAAAGTACATGTCTAACCCTTGAGATAGTTCCTCACGGAGATGGGTCATAGTGAGGAAAGTCTCATTGCACCAATGACAGGCCTTCTGTAGAGAGTCAGGGAAAAGAAGATTCAGAGTCAGAGAAGCGTGGTCAGACCACGTGATAGAGTTGATTTCAGAAGAAACCAAAAGAGGGAGTAAAGAAGCGAAGACAAAAAAGTGATCTAAACGAGAGTAACTGCGATGAGGGAGGAATAGAAAGTAAACTGTTTGTGTAGTGGATGTTTGACCCAAGCATCAAAGAGACGATGTTCCCTGATCAACTTATGAAAGAATCTTGAGAAGGAACATTGCTGCTTCGAGGGGGTGGATTCAAAAAGGACCTTCCTGTCTTTATGGGGGGACATAATTAAATTAAAGTCACTACCAATGATTATGTGTGGTGTAGAAAAGGAATTTAATCTGGAGAGTGTTTGGGAAAGGAACTGCAATTGACCCATGTTCGGGCATACAAATTTAACAGAATAAGAGGAGAGCCTCCAAACATACATTCCAGAATAATAAAACGACCCTGTGGGTCGACTCTGGAGGAAATGACCTGAAGGTAGCAATGTGTCCGTATCAAAATCGCTACTCCGGCCTTCCCAGTGGGATCAAAAGCCGAGTAGGATTGGGAGAAAAACCATGAGGCAAAACGAAAAGAACCATTCAATTTAAAATGGGTCTCCTGAACAAAAATAACATCTGCTCCTGAGGATGGAAATTCCTTCAAGCCATCCGCCATTTTTTGATGGAGTTAAGACCTTTGACATTATATGATAGTAACCGTAAAGTCATCATTATATAATAATACAAAAAACAATTGTACCAGTATAAAGAGTGAATAAGGCATCATCGATGAAAAAAAAACTGAAATCAATAAAAACAGAGAAAACATAAACTGTAAGAATAACAGCAAAAAACATGTAGATAAAAACATGACAACTGACACATCTCACCAATTGTCCATCCTGGCAACGAAAAACAAAATGAAAGCACACAACCAGGGCATAGAAAAATTGACATTAGCGGTGCAATAATTGGGGAAGAAGGCGACTCCAAAAACTCCCAACAGACCATCCAGGAGAATCATCAGACATGTACATCACCTGCTCTAGGAGGTCGTAGGTGTAGAGGCGTGCGGGAAAGACATTTCCGCCCAGTATGGGCCAGTGTCCAGATCTTGGTTGGGGTGGCAGAAGGGCGTGACGGGGCAGCCGGCAGCGAAGATGGATCATCAGGAAGAGGGGGAAGTCCCAGGTAATGAAGGAAGGAGTCCGCCTCAAGAAGATCACGTAGAGTAACTTGAGTGTTGTCCTTGGAGACGACCAACTTGAAGGGAAACCCCCACCGATAGGGGACGTGGTGTTGCTGTAGATGGGTGGTGACCAGTTTTAGAGCCCGTTGTTTGGCCAGGGTAATCGGAGAGAGGTCACTGAAGAGCTGGAGTTTGTCCCCTTTGAATCCTAAGGAAGATTTGTTGCACACAGAGGAGAGCAGAGTCTCTTTGCTTTTAAAAAAATGGAAATGGACAATGACATCACGGGGACTGGTGCCCTTAGTGGGTTTAGGGCCCAGAGAATGGTGGGCCCTATCCAGCCACCAATCTGATTCTGGGACCATGGGGGTAGTTGCGGTGAAAAAGGACAGCAAGCGGTGACGAAGTTGGGAGTCAGAAATTGCTTCAGACATACCGCGGACACAGATATTCTGGCAGCGTTTCCTGTTTTATAAGGTCTTCTTGTTGAAGATGCACTTGGGACATGGAATGCTTCAAGCATGCGTTATCTTCTTCCAAAACATGGATGTATTGTACCAATTCATCAGACTTGGTCTTCAGTTGGTCAGTACGGTCCCCGATCTGGGCGATCTCCCCCCTAAAATCCAGGGCCAGCTTCCCAACTTCAGCAGATATAGTAGAAGTAATATTGCGCAGAAATACTTGTAATTTGTCATCTAAAGATGAGACTGTTACGGTGGATGAAGCCGGCCTGTGGCTGAAGCTGTGAGGTGCTCTGAATAAGGGTGGTCTGCTGCCCCCCCTGCCACCTGCAGGTGCCTGGGATCCTCCATCTGGATATTATTTTGGGGTGGGATTGTGAGGGGCCCTGTGGTGGGCTGATAGATCCCTCCCCAGCCTCAGCCCGGGCGCCCGAAACCCCCTTGTGGGCTAAGAGCGGTACTAGAGGCTGGGGATGCAGGCCTAGATAGGAAGCATTGCAGTAGGGAAGGCCGCGGGTCCATCAGTGGCAGGGAGGGGGGCTTCCAGCGCCTGATCTTCCCCATAATATGCCTCCGGGTGTGCACTGGGCTTATGTGGCCCGCCCAGAGCAGCTGTCGGCTTATGGAGCGGAGCGTGAGAGCCGAAGATGCCAGGGATGAGCAGAGCTCTGCTAATGCGCATCCGCCATCAAGCACGGTCGTGCATGCGCCCCTTGACTCTTTTAATATTGTAATAGTCCATTTGATCTGGTAAGCGTCCATTGTTTCTATGGTGGTGGTGCACTCTGATCTCAACAGGATGGGGTGATACACATCCATCTCTACACTTTATCATTTATATTGAAACTCTGTCTCTTCTCATCATTACTTGGACTTTTATATATATTCCTTTATCTGCATATGATCCAATTTTGATGTGTATTGATGTTTGTTAATTATACCTAGCGCTGCAATATGTTTATATCAATTTGTACACAATCCTTCTAATTGTTTTGCCAGCTGCTTTGTTTGTTTTATACTAGCATGATTTATATTGGTAGTGCAATTTATAGTACAAGGAATACACCTTGAGAATCCTTTTCCTTCAGGATCAGAGAGTAATTCTATGGCATGGGCACAGTGCCAAGAATTTTGCCATGTAAGTGCAAAGTTCACCACAATAACATTTGACCATGACTGAAATTTCAGTTTTTTTGCAGATCAGTTTTTTTGAAGATAAATAATTCAATGAAAGTTCAATAACCTATGGCACTCATTCAGATTTCATCTTTTTTCTAATAATTATTGGACTTTGCACTAAATAAGCCAAATCCATTATATTATACGTCATTTAATGGTTTTGTCAAAACTTACAGTTTACTGGTACCCAGCGGAAGATCTTGTAGGGTTTCTTCATACTGATCTTCCTGGAAGATGGAGGAAAAGGAAGGGTCCATTTTCCTTTCTTCTGAGATATCTTCAGCCTTGAATAACATGTCTTGTATGAATTCTGTTGCAGCAATGTCTACGGATACATGTGCAATTAGTTGGAATTAAATAAGCAGAAGAATAATGATTAATACTTTTCTACTTAAAGGAAAAAATACATTTAATAGATCGCAGGCTTGACATTCGCAAAGGGCTGTTCTTCAGTTGGGGAATGCTTATAACATTAAAATATTCAAACAAAACTAGTCACCAATTGTTTATAATCTCCAATTTTTAGACAATCCTTGTTTTTTTTATTATTTGATTGTATTTTTTTTCCTGTCAGAGCACACGTTTCAGGCTGAGTAGCACGTACTAAAGTAACCCATTGAGGATGCCCTGTCTTCTGCCTGAGCTCAGCATTGATAAAAATTTTACAAAATTATCACATGGCAAAGGTGCTGTTCAGATTACATTAAAGAAAACTAAAGGCTTAATTAATCGTCAGTGTTATCCTCCTCCAGCAGCCCAGACAGAGTATCAGTTAACAGCCCTAAATCAGCCATAGATCAAATCTTAGCCAGTTCAGCAGGGACCAACCAAGACTCGATCCATCTATGGTAGGCTGCAGGCTGATTGTACTCAAGGCAATCCATCGATTGACTTGGGTACAACCAGCATGTTGGACTTTTAGGAATGCAATTATTGCCAGCTAAATTATAGCCACTAGTAGTAATCAGGTAGTGCATCAAACACTACCCTCTCTCCAGATTGACAATGCTGCTCTGAAACATCATCCAGAATAGAGACACCATAAGCCTGGAAGTGTGCTACTGGCTATATCACCAGGCAAAAATCATGGAAAAAAGTATGCTGCAATAAAAAAAATAAAAATAATTTTTTGGGGGGTGTTTAATACTACTTTAACTTTGTTAGGTCATGTTCACCTGGCCAGACATTCTACCTAACCACGCCTGGGAATTTGGGAGGATAAAGAGCAATATCTGAGCTATGGCATCATAACTAAGCCTAGGATTGTAAAAACACAGCTGCCTGTCTTCTTATATCCTGGAGTGACAGTTCTCTTCTCTATGCAAGACTATCAGGTATATATATCACACTCTTGGAATTATGGGGTATTATAATAAATATAAACAACACATTGTAACTCCCTAATTAATGGGCTCAGAAGCAACAGCATTAGACTTCTGGAAAGTTTGGAGCTCAACTCATACTCCCTTTTTGTTTATTTGGGTTATTAAAGATGCACACTTAACCTTTTAGGTTCCATTCGCTAGGCATTTTATAACCCCTGAAGAAGACAAGGTCCTGCAAGTTTGCATCTTTAATAACCTAAGTTAGCCAATAAAAGGTATCACTTAAACTATCCATTTTGTACATTAGTCAATACAAGGTTCTACTACCACTTTTGAGAAATGGCCACCCATCGATCACAGGCTTTGGAATGATGTAATGATGTCTGCATGGTCAGGATGTTACAGGACTCCAATGAGGTCATTGCCATAACATGTGGCAATAGGGTCGAAGAAAGCCCTGTGAGTGTCTGTTTTTCTGTCACTGTGTTTACAATCTTTAACACAGTTAAAATAAATGTTATTGCTGTGCACACCACTTTAACACAGTGATCTCAATGACAACTGTTAACCCATATATGTGGAGCAAAAAAGGTCTTGTTTGTAACTATAGTAAATTAATGTTTGTTTGCATTAGAGTATTCTGAGGCACCATCAGACATATTAAGCCTGCTGAGCTGTATTAAAGTAAAAGAGAAAAAAAGGTGATATCGGAAGGTTTTAGAGCTTTACAAGGGAGACTGATTTAACACGATAAAAATAGGGTGAAAATCACAACCAGAAACAATGGAAAGCACAATAAAGCTTGGGAATGAAATGCAAGTATTATGGTTTCTTCTCATAGTATAAATTATTAAAAAAACAAATTTCAATGAATACATTGACTTACAGATCAAAAATGACTGACATACCTGAAGGTTTATCCCCATTACAGTTGATAATATTTGGGTTTGCTTGATGGACCAAAAGAACTTTTACTAGGCTTGTCTGTTAAAATAAAAATGGACATTTTGTGTTTGCTGATTACATTGTTAGACTACAAAAACACCAACAGAGTTAATGTAGTAGCCATAAATTAAAAACTATGGAAGAGATGACCAGCATACCACTCTCCGTTTGTCTTTTAACTTCAGGTCCCAAGCTCTGCTATGTTTTATCAACATATATGGTATAAAACAAAGTAATACGTATATTAAACACACTTAGTAGACTTTTAAAGCTGTGTGTTTGTCTGAGTAATATCTAAAATTCCTGCATGCTCTTATTTCCTGTTATGGTGACAATGGTTATATCAGGCAGGAAGTAATTGAAAGTCCGCAAAGGGGACACAGACATAAAAAACTGAGGTTCTACTCTATTAAAAAGTCTTTGCCTACTCTATCAAAAAGCATTTTTATTTCTGTGTTGAGATTATCTCTCACTTCCTGTCTGATGAAGCCATTGTCACAGGGACAGAAAGAAAGTTCTCTAAAGCCTTGTATATACAGGCTGAACTGGAATTGACCAACTTGCAGCCTGTGCAGCTGTCTGTTCTACAAACGTGTCTCACAACCTGTTCCTGTCGAACTGGAAGGCTGGAAGACCAGCATCCAACCCACATCAGATTAGCGCTGGCAGCCAGTGACCTTTGAAAGCTGATCAGTGGGCTCTGGCGGGGGGGAAGTCCCCCTGTCAGAACACAAAGGCATAGAGGGGAAGAGTGGAAGGGTCTCTGACGTCACGACGCTTAAAGCAACATACAGCAAGTATTTAACAAGACTGGAAAACTTTACTGTGGTTTAAAATTTTAACATTTCAATTCAGTTTTAACCTGTAATACATGTGAGTGCACTACTATATTTAATAAATATGACACAATGGTATGAGTATGTGTAGAGTGTAAGCGAACCACTAATTGTTCACATATTTATTTACACAATTTTATGATAATTTAATTTTATTATTGTATTGATTTTACCACACAGCATTGGTAATATTTAAATATTGTAGCATACACCATAGTAGCTCACAAGACCCCACACTTCAGTATCCATAGAGGGGAAGATCACTGCACTAATATCGCTTTTGTCAGTTTTTTTCATTCAGTCCACTGAGTTGAATAAAACTGTGTGTGTAGCCAGCTTAATGGAGACCCAGATAGCAGTAAAAAATAAACAGAGGTTCTAATTAATCTCCACTCCATCTTTAACTAATGAAGAAAGTTTGCTCTGGAAATACCCTAAATAACACAGGGTCGCATGATCATTCTTTACAAACATTTAGGTATTAATATGCAGCAGTCCAGTCCCTGTGTAAATAGCTCCAGTAATAATCTTATCTCAGCTAGGAAATCCATTCTTGGTGATTGATTCTTCTATTAACTGGTTGGCCTGGGCTATCTGCATACTTTAGGAGTAATCCATAGATTTGGTTTCCTGATCCAACTGATTTCAGCTATTAGGGTGATGGTGACCTGATGTCTGTAACTAGATGTTGCCTGGTCATTTTGTCTATGACTATTCTGCAATGCTAGTACAATGTTGTTATAGGAATATGTAAAGATCAACAAAATTATTTCTACCATCACTCTGCTAAGACACACTATACAAGATATACAATACATACATGATCAAATTAAAGTTAGAAACACTTTATTTAAAAACAACAAATTAAACTGCAGTTATTGAATGTCTGATCCTACATCATTTATTATTTTGTAAATAAAATGTTTTTATAAAACTGTACAATTTAACTTAGTGTTATTAAAAAACGAATGTGCTTAATAGAGACCAATTTTATCTAAACTGGCATCTTAAATGTTATGCCAACCAGGGGCAGACTGACCATTCAAGCACTGCCCGAGGTCCCAGGGTCAGTAGGGGGCCCCATGAGATGCCACTGGTACCTTTCATTGGCTTTTTCATAGGCTTTTTTGAGTTTGGGCAAGGACACAGGGGCCCCATGATCCCCTATTGCCCGGGGGCCCCATGAGTTGTCAGTCCGCCCCTGATGCCAACCCATACAAAAGTCTATAACCTTACAACTGCAATTTACACTTTTCATATTGGATATGCTACATAACCAACACATGGAGCAGTTACCTAAGATCTTTTAGGCCTTGTTCCCACCATGCATGCAAAAAAACTAATGGAAAACCCTGCATATTTCACTTGCAGAGACATGAGTTTACATCAGTTTTCATGCGCGTATCAGTGAGTTTTTATGTTAGTTGACATCAGTTTTCATGCGCGTCTTTTATGTGCCATTTTCACAGCACCATATTAATGTCATATCACATTTTTTCCATGCAGAAAACTGCATACACATTGCAGATTCCTGCACAGAAAAAATCTGCATGTAACCCCAGTGTTGTGAACAAGGCACATAGAAAACAATTGTTTTCTTTGAGCCCTTGCAGAGTTCTTGCAGAAAAACTGACATCGTTGCACATGGTGTGAACAAGACCTTAATGCCAAAGGTGAGCTTCCAAGGATGCATATGGACTTTGCACATAATCAAGGCATTTGCAATCACATTACTGTGTAAGAGCTTGCAACTTTTTTTTTAACTATTTGACCAATTAGGACTTTGTTATTAATTATATAAAGTGCCACAGCCAAAAGGAAGATCTATGGGGTGATTTCAACACATTACCTGTCCATATTTTGCAGCCAAATGAAGAGGAGTCCAGTATTGGTTATCCTGAGCATCTGGATCAGCATTGTGCTCTAATAACTTGCAAGCCACATCCTTATAGCCACCAGCACAGGCTATGTGAAGCTGTTGAAACATGCATGGTAGTTATAACAAATTTATTTTACATAGGTATATGAATTAAAATTTACAGACCAAAAAAATACCCCTGCAAAAGCTGTTAACATAGTAACACAGGTAGGTGTCTACTTCACTCACCTGCTTAGTAAAATAAAACTCTTGTCCATATATCAATAACAACTCCTGGAAGGCCTCATGCATGCTTGAGCTCACAAAAATGCTGCTTTTACAGACATTTGAGAATTTTTTTCTCTGCCTCTAAACTTCCCTCCAAGTTTTTTTGTGGGGTTTGTTTACTAAAGCTGGAGAATGCAAAATCAGGCTCACTTCTGCATTGAAACCAATCAGCTACCAGGTTTGATTGTCAAAGCTCCACCCAAAAGTGGAAGTTCCACTTTAAGGCTTCATCCCCTGCTCCCCATTAAGGATTGGCACCTTTGGGGAGCAGAGGAGGTACTCGACTTTGACAGGTAACCACTCTAATTTCCACTGCGATCGCCTAGGTGATCAGAAGAGGAAGTTGTCTTCCCCTCTCCGTATTCTTCTGGGACACATGACAGGTCCCAGAAGACTACAGGACCATTCACAAAGAGCAACACTACTCGTGCATGCGCAGTGGGCACCCAGCTGTGAAGCTGCAAGCTGTCACAGCCGGGTGCCCACACTGAAGATGCCGGTGCTGTATACACAGGATGTCCGGTGAACCTGGCCGGAGTGAGAAACACCGCAGGATTAAGGGATAGGCAAGTGTCCGCTTTTTTTTTTTTAAGTCAGCAGCTACAGTTTTTATAGCTGCTGACTTTTATTTTTTTTTAAATTTTGACTGCCACTCTGCTTTAATTGAACAAGATGAGGTTAGCAGCTGACTGGTTTTTATGCAGAAGTGCACCTGATTTTGCACTCTCCAGCTTTAGTAAATAAACCCCAATGTGTCCCTGCATACTATAGGAATTTACAGGAGTTTTGAAGCAAAAAAAAAACACTTGTGTGTTCAAGAGCGAAGCGTCTGGTAGAAAAAATGCCTAACGTGGCTAAATGTGTCTTAATGCGCATTAATGCTAGGCGCTTTTAGCCCTTGAATGGTTTTGGGGGGGGGGGGGGTTTATTTCAATGGCCAGAATAAATTCATATTCTGGCCAATGATTAGTAAATTCCTAAGCACTTGACGTGCCTAAACATTTTTTTAAAAAAACACGGCTTAGGAGTGTTTTTGCACCTGCTTTTCTCCTGTCAGTAAAAAAAGCGTTTAGAAGACCCAAGTGTGCATGAACTCCTAAGGGCTTGTTCACACTTGACTACTTCCCAAAGACCCATAGTGTTTGACATGTGTTAGACAGATGTTTGGGGAGCATGCTCCTCAAATGCTCCCCAAACACTCCTCAAACACCTATAGGTGTTTTTGAGGCGTTTTCAAGCGTTAAAACTGCACCACAATGCCTATAATGAAGTTAATGGTATTAACGCCCGCAAGTGCCTCGCAAATGCCAGGTATTTAAGGAGCGTCACCATAGATTCGAATGGAAGGCGGTGAAAGGCTTCAACTCTTCCTGACTCAACATGAGATGTCAGTTTTGCCGCGACGCTAACGCTTCAGTGTGAACAGTACTGTGTGCTGCAATGTGTATAATTTTCATAGGCATTTGAGGAGCGTTAACACCCCTCAAATGCCTGCAAAACACCTGCTTGCAAAGCTAGTGTGAACATAGCCTTAGGGCTTGTTCATAGTTGACTTCTTCCCAAACGCCCCTATAGCATTTGACATGCGTTAGACAGGTGTTTGGGGAGTGTTTTTAATGCTCCCCAAATGCCTTATGTGAGGTATTGAGGCATTTTATAGGCGTTTTCCAAGCCAGACCTGAAAAACTTCTGCCAGGCATTTGAGGAGTATCACCATAAACTTGGGAGAATGGGAGACGTTAAAAGGCTTCAACTCCTCCTGACGTCCTCCACCTCCAGGCGTCAGCTAATGCTTCAGTGTGAACAGCACTATGTGCTGCCACGTGTATAATTTTCATAGGCGTTTGAGGAGCATTAAAAACATCTCTCAAATGCCTGGAAAATGCCTGCTTACAATGCTAGTGTGAACTGAACCTTAGTGTGATTTTTTTCAGATAAAGTATTGATAACATCGATCTGCTGTTCCTGCACTGGAATACTATATTTACCAGATTTTACTATTTACTATATTTTATTATTTACTATATTTTACTATCAGATGATGCTGCAATTGAAACTGGTAATTGTAGCTCTTATACTGTATATGATATAATCCAAGAGCTATGAGAATATGGGCCCCATCATGTTATTGTATACTAGCAGGGTTTTCTTTATGGGCTGGAAATCCCCATTATCCGATATAATGCACACTTCTACCTATATGCGTGGTTTTCTTAATCCTTCAGTGTAACTGGTACATTAAACCAATTACTTCAATTGAATTTGTATAAGCACTTAAAGACTAGCAGTTGAATCCAATATACGGACACTACTGTTGGCTAAGATGGTATTACTGTGAAATGCAGACTCTAGTAATTTAACAGAGCAATTTAACAGACAGCAAATGTGACAAGCATTCTTATCCCATTGTTATAAATAGAGCTTTTTATTTTATCCACAGCCTGCGTGTACAGGAAAAGAACAGATGCTTATCCATTGCATGGTAGTTAGTTAAAATACCAATAACAGCTGTCCCAGCTCTCCAATGAAAAGCAGCACTGTAGGTAGAAACAATCTGCACAGAATGAGTAGTGGATGAACCAAGCACAACACCAGTTACAGCTTAGCTAACCCCATGCAGGACTCCCCTCTTACTGACGATTTCTTTTAAGTCTTAATACCGTGTGGGAGCTGAATTATTACACAAATTGCTACTTGATATGTGACAATGTCTAACAAAAAAGCAGTTTGATGAATATCAAGCTTCAGAAAGAAATTTTCATTTATACTGAATTTATAGAAAATCTTACAAGAGTCACGCCATCATCATTTTTCTCATTAACACTTCCTCCAACAGCCAGCAGCTGCTTCACATCAGATAACATCACTGCTGCTCTCTGGGTCCTTATCTGTCGCAATGAGGTCAGATCAACACCTACAGAAAAGAACAAGTACATATGATTCCAAGAGAATTGGGAAATAAATCCAATCAAATCTATAGCCTGGGTTTTAATGAAACTAAACTGGGGCATAGATTATATATAAAGGAAAGTCAGCGTTTATGAAACAACCTGACCAACAGAGGTTTTGTCATATATACATTTATCCAACATACTACGTTAATGCATAGTTGTAATTACAGTTGCAAGAAAAAGTATGTGAACCCTTTGGGATTACGTGGAGTTTTGCATGAATTGGGCATAAAATGTGCTCTGAACGTCATCTAAGTCACAACAATAGAAGAACACAGTCTGCTGAACATAATACTACACAATCATTAGATGTTGCCATGGTTTAATTGCACATAACATGTAAACATTCACAGTGCAGGGAGGAAAAAGTATGTGAGGCCCTAGCTTAAAGACTTCTCCCAGAGCTAATTGGAGACAGGAGTGAGCCAACCTTGACTCCAATCAGTGTGATATTGGATGTGTTGCTGACAGCTGTCCTGCCTTTAAAAAACACACACCTGTTTTGGGTTTACTGGTTTCAATAAGCACTGTCTGATGTGAACTATGCCTCGCAGAAAAGAGCTCTCAGAAGACCTACGATCAAGAATTGATGACTTGCATGAAGCTGGAAAGGGTTACAAAAGTATCTCCAAAAGCCTTGATGTTCATGTGTCCATGGTAAGACAGACTATTTACAAATGGAGAAAGTTTAGCACTGTTGCTACTCTCCCTAGGCGTCATCGTCCTGTAAAAATGACTGCAAGAGCACAGCGCAGAATGCTGCATGAGATAAAGAAGAATCCCAGAGTGTCAGCTAAAGACCTACAGAAATCTCTGGCACATGCTAACATTTTTGTTGACACATCTACAATAAGGAAAACATTAAACAAGAATGGAGTACATGGGAGGACACCACGGAGGAAGCCATTGCTGTCCAAAAAGAATATTGCAGCACGTTTGAAGTTTGCAAAAGAGCAGCTGGATGTTCCACAGCACTACTGGCAAAATATACTGTGGACAGATGAAACCAAGATTGAGTTGTTTGGGAAGAACACACAACACTATGTGTGGAGAAAAAAAGGCACAGCACACCAACATCAAAACCTCATCCTCACTGTAAAACATGGCGGAGGGAGCATCATGGTTTGGGGTTGCTTTGTTGCCTCAGGGCCTGGACGGATTGTTGTCATTGATGGGAAAATGAATTCCAGAGTTTATCGAGACATTTTGCAGGAAAACGTACGAGCATCTGTCCGCCAACTGAAGCTCCGCAGAGGATGGGTGATGCAACAGGACAACGACCCAAAGCATACAAGTAATTCAACAAGACAATGGCTGCAACAGCACAGAATACGCCTTCTGGAGTGGCCCAGTCAGAGTCCTGACCTCAACCCGATTGAAATGCTGTGGCATGACCTTAAAAGAGCGATTCACACCAGACATCCCAAGAATATTGCTACACTGAAACAGTTTTGTGAAGAGGAGTGGTCCAAAATTACTCCAGATCATTGTGCAGGTCTGATCTGCAACTACAGGAAATGTTTGGTTGAGGTTATTGCTGCCAAAGGAGGGTCAACCAGTTATTAAGTCCAAAGGTTCACATACTTTTTCCTCCCTGCACTGTGAATGTTTACATGTTATGTGCAATTAAACCATGGCAACATCTAATATTTGTGTAGTAGTATTATGTTCAGCAGACTGTGTTCTTCTATTGTTGTGACTTAGATGACGTTCAGAGCACATTTTATGCCCAATTCATGCAAAACTCCACGTAATCCCAAGGGTTCACATACTTTTTCTTGCAACTGTAGGTCACCCATAAACATCAGATTATTGTTGCATGACGATCCCCCAGATCTTGACAGTTATGTCCACCAACTTGCTTTTGGTGCTAAACTTGTTGGCCAGATTGTATTTTTGGAGGGGCTGATAACCTATTGTTTCATTAAGATAGTGATAGTGATGATAGTGGAGTTTTCCATTGTCATAAGTATATATCAGTACATATATGTTGGGAGGGGGAGATGTACTTTGGAAGCCAGATAGTTTACTGACTGCCGTCGGGTGATAAAGCAGAACATAAATCTATGTGAGCAACACAAACTGAAAATACAATTTGATTCATTTTTAATATTCACAGCAAATCCACTCATCTATCCATGTCTCCATGCTATATTGTGTGTTGAAAAACCACTTTGAAAAAAAAAACCCTTGCATTTTAACCCTCTTGAGTAAGGGCAGATGATTCATGTAGCATTTACTATCTGGAATCCATCTGCTCATGCAGTCAGGAGGGTGTGCTTAGCTGAGTAAGCCTCTTCTCCTCTTCTTCAAATGAAAAGAAAAAAATGTCCTTGAAGAATCCTGGGATGTATGACATCAGTTTGACCTAGCCCAACGAGGCAACTGAAGAAATATAAATAGAAAGTTTATCTATCTATCTATCTATCTATCTATCTATCTATCTATCTATCTAAGGCTAGCAGCATAAGGATTAAAAATAGTTAATGTTGATTTAGAGAGTTTACTAAAACTTTAAGCATTACATATACAGTACCTCTAAATTATCAGTCAAAACAAAAGAGAAAGCTTTCGTCATGTTGAGCATTTACTACACATTAAAGGTAATCTAAACCTCAACTAGATGACATTTAGATAGTAAAAGCAATGTATACTAAACAATTATCTTTTCCCCATAAAATACAATGTTTTTTATCTTAGTGCTGCTGATATCATTTGGCCTCTTTTAGCCACTTTCTGACTAAATGATTTAGATCCTGGATTCACATTATTGCTTTTGACCGACTTAGTGTTGCTGATAATGGTGGACCATGCCTGTGCAGGGTGTGTCATGACTGCTTTAGATCACCACCATGGGCTCATGTGACAGGCAGAGTTGCCAACCATTCACTTATAGTTTATGCACTATTTGTTTAAAAAAAAAAACAAAAAAAAAGTTTTCTGTTGTCGTAAAAGTCTGTGGAATGGAGGAAACGTCTGTGAAAATCCAGATTTGTTTGGCAGCTGTAAGATGCAGAACTACATAAAGTCACTTTCCAGTACCCCTGGTCAGCATGAGCAGGAAGGGAGCTTTGTGATCACCTGCTCCACTTCCCTTTGACTCAGCCAATCGTGCTAGGTCCACTTTGTAACCCCACCCTCTTCCATTTCCACTATGTTTGACTGCACTGCAGGCAGCCAGGGGCTAAAAGTTCCAGGGAGAAGCGACAGACACAAAATTGACTCCTAAGGCCCTCTAAGATCTCCATGGGAGTTGGCAATGGAAAAAACAGAAAGTTATGCATCTTTTGTTACAACATCAAGGTGTAAAGATCCTCAGCAGACAGGACACAAACTTCATGCATTCCTTTCTACTAGCATGCTTACAAGCCATTGAATGTAGCCGTATTAGTGCAATTGTCCATAATACATTTTTTGTTTGTACTAACATCCACATTTTCAGGACAAGCTTTCGGAGTATGTCCCCTTCTTCAAGGTCAAAGCAGTACATATAAGTAATGCTTGGACCTTGATGAAGTGGGTACACCCTGAAAGCATGTCCTGAAAATTTGGATGTTAGTACAAATAAGAAAAAGCATCACAGACAATACTCAGTTGTTTATGCCTCTACTATGAGAAATCATGTTTTATAAAGAAATTCTCTGACAGGTAGAAAAGAATGCAAGATATTTGTGTGGTCTGTCCTGCTCCTCTGCTTGTTTGATCTTTAACATAAATGTTGATGGTGTTACAATAAATCTCAATATAGATAAAGTAAGCTTTCCCTCTCTACATGCAACATACATACTGCCCTACTAAAACTCACTAATGATCTACTAACTGCTAAAACAAATGGCCACTACTCCGTACTCTTACTACTTTTGATACGGTTGACCATCCCCTCCTCCTCAAAAAAACTCCACTCTCTTGGCCTCAGAGACTCCGCCCTCTCCTGGTTCTCCTCCTACCTATCACAGCGCTCCTTCAGTGTTACCTATAACGCTGCCACCTCCTCTTCACTCCCTCTCTCCGTAGGGATCCCTCAAGGTTCTGTCCTTGGACCCCTTCTCTTCTCCATCTACACCTCCTCCCCTGGCCAATTGATAAGCTCCCACAGCTTCAATTACCATCTCTATGCTGATGACACACACATTTATCTTTCTACCCCTCACCTCACCCCTTCAGTCTCCTCTCGCATTACTAGCCTACAAAGTGACATATCGGCATGGATGTCACTCCACTTCCTCAAACTCAATCTTTCCAAAACTGAGCTCTTAGTATTCACCCCAGCTTGTACCCCCTGTGCTGACTTCTCCATCAAGATCGATAACACAATCATCAGTCCCTCCCCTCATGCCAGGGTGCTAGGTGTAATCCTAGACTCCCATCTGTCCTTTCAGCCCCAAATCCAATCACTGTCCAAATCTTGTAGACTTCACCTCCGCAACATCTCCAAGATACGACCATTCTTAACCCCTGAAATCACTAAGCATCTTATTCACTCCCTTGTTATATCTCGCCTTGACTATTGTAACTCCCTCCTTATTGACCTACCTAATCGCAGGCTATCCCCTCTTCAGTCTATCATGAATGCTGCTGCCAGACTCATCCACCTCACTAACCGTTCTGTATCTGCAACCCCTCTCTGCCAATCCCTCCACTGGCTTCCCATTGCCCAACAGATAAAATTCAAAGCACTAACAATGACGTATAAAGCCATTCATAACACTGCCACAAATTACATCACCGATCTTGTCTCTAAATATCACACAAACCGTACTCTCCGCTCCCTCGCAAGACCTCCTATTCTCTAGCTCCCTTGTCTCCTCCTCCCATGCTCATCTTTAGGACTTCTCCAGGGCTTCCCCCATCCTCTGGAACTCTCTACCCCAATCTATCAGACTCACGCCTGCTCTGCTCATTTTTAGGCGATCTCTGAAAACCCATCTCTTCAGGGAAGCCTATCCTGCCCTCAACTAATACT